GTGGAAGTTTTGAGGAGTAGTCTAATTGTGTCACTGGGATATTTCAATGTTCCAGTCTTTGGACAGTCTTGTAAGCATTGAAAACGTGATTATGATTCTTTTTCTCATTTGTTTATACTTGACAATTACATACTGAAATACTTTTCTCTTTTAAGAGTATTCTATTTCATATGAAATATATTACCAATTTATACAGTTCCTAGTTAGGGTGATGATGTTTCTTGACTTGCCTTCATTATAGATCACTTTCCTTAGTTTTTAATAGATTTGACTATCAAGCTTTTTTCTTCTCTCTCTTCTTAGTATCAACTTAAATCCAAGTTTCATTACTGATTAGATCTGTTAATCAAAACTTGATGTCTGTCATAGTCATAAATTCAAGAAATGCTGATGACAGGAAGAGAAAATATCTCGATCCGGTTTTTTTGCTATAATTCATGACAATGTATTGAAAATCAATTATCTCCGTGGATCAGGTGTTAGGAATATATCAGAAGTGAACAAGTATTGAAAGACATTGGATAAGTAGTTGAACACTCAGTTAAAGGTCATAGAAAGACAATAGGAGTGTATCCTTAATAGTTAATAGCAACTTTTTTACGTCATGAAAGAGCCACGACTCGATGAGGGATTTCGGCAAAGAATGTGTTGATTTCAAGCTGTTTGATTCAAGAGTGATGAGTGATAACATGAGTTTTCTGATTATTCGATGGTTCACGAATCCTTGTTTGCTAGCTAGCTCAGAGGTCGTTGATAACTCCTACTTGACATGACCGAATTTAGCTTTGATTTTTGTTGAGGCTAGTTACGTGAAGTCTTTTGATACTTTATTAGGTACTCTTTCAACAGTTTCTCAGTTTTTTCATGAAAAACACTCTCATAGAAACTTTTTATGAAAAGTTTTTCTAATTCATCCCATATACGAATCACCAGGAAGTGTCTTAATTGAAGTTAAAAATAAACTGCAAGAATATATATAAGTGAACCAGTTAAATAGAATATTATAACGAAGTGTTTTTTCTTATAAATAACTGTTTATTTTATTTTTCATCGGTTTATATTAATCATCATTAATTCAACTGTATCTCTGTTTCAGTTAAAGAATATCTTCTTCTTTACAATTCAACTTGTTATTTGTGTTGTACTCCTCAATATAATAAAAATTCAAAATTTCAAATTATTAGAATTCCGTTGGTAAAAAATGACGAGCTGCTCTACCATCAAAATAAAGATTATGCATCTCTTAATATTTAATAAGTTTTGCTTCTTTCGACATATCTTCTTACATGAGTCACTAATATAGCTTATGTTGAGTACTGACATATGAATCATCATCTTTCTTTCTATTCTCTTTTTTTTATGCATTTAGCGAACCATAATAAAAGGGAAAAAAATAATGATAACAACGTTTGACTCACTTCTGTCTTCAACATGCCGGAGCATTTTTCACTGAACAGCATTACGCTTTCGGAACGCTGTGTGCAAGTGCTCTGAATATTTGATTACGTGATTAATAACTTGAAAAAGACCATTACTCTCCAGACAGAGAAGACTCTTTAGAAACATACATTTTCTATGATGATTTTTATGCACACTAATTTGACTGAAAATCTCCACAAATTATGAAGAATATCGCTTCAGTAATTAAGAAACAAGGAGAATGATGTACTTCGTCTGCAAATCTTGAATATTAAAAAGAGCGCGTTTTTGCAAGTTTTATTGTTTCAATCTCTTTCGATGGCATGATTTACGTTTTCAATGCGCGTGATCTCTCTAGAATTATTCAGGATAAAAAACAATCTAGTGTCTGCACTACAATGAAATAGAGGAAGAAACTTTCAATCTATAGATCAAGATACAATACCAACGATTGTCTTCTCACATTCTAACGTTGAGCAAATGAAATCATGTATTTGAGGGTGTGGGTGTGGGTGTAGGTATGAGGTTCGTTGGTCTCCTCGTTAACACTACTCCTCACATCGACATCCATAGAACCCCACCCACGTCCATCCACGCCCAAATGTTCCTGTCTTCTGAATTCTGAATTATGCAACTATTAACCGATAGACTATCTGCAACTTTGATCTCTTGCTGTGGAGCCATGGGCGAATGACTAAACATTCATTGGTCCGTCAGTCGATTAATGTCATGCATAATAATATTCTTACTGTTGGTATGACAGCATCGTGGACATTTTATCATTCAATAAACATGTTGCATTAAATTCATGCTTATTTCTGTCCTTTTTTTTTGTAGCCACGAATATCGTATTGAAATATCACACTCTCTGTAACAAATACACAAATGGGAGTTCACAGTTATTATGTTTTCACGAGGATGACTATTTCTGCTTGTGTGACGTGAACAGTCTCGCGCAGTGTCTTCGTTACAATAAAAAATGGGATCAATGTCAATATTGTCTGGCACAAGGCAGATGCATTAAAGGTGTTACAATTACATCGAGTGAGTATTTGTGTATATGCCCACGATGTTATTCCGGCTCTATTTGCCAACATCACACACAAGTGCTAAGTTTCAGTCTGGAATTTCTTCTGAGCGCCGATATATCAGCATCATCACTTATCACTTAAGACGTATCACTCATCATTCACATTACTGTACCAGGGCTACTGTTTCTCTATGGTATCATCAATAACTTCTTTTCATTCATCACATTCCGACGTCCGAAACTAAGTTCGAACAGAGTTGCTAACTATTTTCTCGCCAACAGTATCATCTCACAATAGTCACTTTTTTGTTTCGTTGAAAAAATTCTTCATATTCTCATCGGCGCACGAGGACTTATCATCCAGCCGATGGTGAACATTATTCTCTGCAAACTTGTGTTGTCTATTCTGTCATTGTGTACCCGAGTTTGTTACTGGCTAATAGCCTTTGTTAACATTAAACGTATCTATGTGGTAATTTATCCAGAGGGGCAGTGGTTAAAACAACTGAAAATTGCCAAGAGAATCATAGCACTCATAGTTGTCATCATATTTGCATCCTATTTACATGAATTAATCAAATACACAACTGTCAATGATCTGAAAGACATTGAAAACGGTGAATGATATTCTCCGCTTGAATTACACTTATGTTGACATATTTTTTTCTCACTTGCAACATGGTGCGTAACAGAATTCGGTGAATTCTTGCCGACCTATAATAAAGTCATCACACTCGTTTATTATCTAATCCCGTTTCTTGTGCAACTCATCTGCATAATCTCTCATATCAATCTGCTTTTCCGCCGTCATGCCAACGCAGAGAAGAAGAAAAAATGCTCACAAATCTTCCGTGAACAGCTGAAAAAACACCAGGAATCGCTCATTCCATTGATAATTATTATTCTAAGTGCTCTACCTCAATTTATCATGTCCTTCTCGTTGGCTTGTAGTGAGCTCAACACAAAATGGCGACGTTACCTGCTCACTGCAGCTTATTTCGTTTCTCATGCGTCACAAATATTGACATTTCATCTTAATGTTCAACCATCAAAATTTTTTTAAATGAATTCTATGAGACAAAAATGGCAAAAGTATTCCAACGAGCAATAAATATGGTAGCTTCAAGAAGAAGAAACGTCAATTTTTGAACCAGAAAATTAATTTCTGCTTTCAGCTTTTGTTGTCTAGTCATGCTTCTTTGTTTTTTGCTATTTTTGTTTCGTTTTTGCCTATTCAACAGCGTATTTGTACAATTTAAAAAAAATAAAATCATACGTTAGAGTTCATGGGGAATTTGAATTTGCGACGAATTCGGAATCGACCAATCCGAGGGAGCAATCGTTTAAGCGAACTGTGTGTTGGCATCATGACAGTGGTATAAGTGGTATATTTTATACCACCATTGTGGTATTGTGGTATAAGGATATAGGGGTATATTTTATACCACCATTGTGGTATTGTGGTATAAAATATACCCTTATACCACAATACCACAATTGTGGTATAAAATATACCCTTATACCACAATACCACCATTGTGGTATAAAAATATATCTTATACCACTACGCCAATAAATGAATATAGTGGTATTATTTTATTTTGTTACAAATAGAAATGATTTGAAGATATTTGATTTTGCCACAAATTCAGATTCCCCATCATGTGCATATATAGTGATAAGAAGTGTGTATGATCCTTCTTTCTCTCCATTTATACAAATTAGTCGTCTATAGTAGTTATTTCTCTATATGAGTGAAATAAATATTTATTTATTTATAACAAAAATCTCATTGATCTTTTTTCCTATTGACGTATCAAGAAAGGATATTACTCACGAAATATGCAAATATGTGTCTAAAGATAAAATAATTTCATGATATGCATCTTCATGCAATGCTGTCATAAGGATGTTTCCTCTGTATCTATAAAATTACATAGATACATTTATGTTCTTCTTCCTTTCATGTTATTCTATAGATGTTGTTTTCGTTGCAAATCATGTAAAAAATTTTCATATTAGGAAATTCTTCTATATTATCATTCTATACATTAATCGTTAGATTTTTACGAAAATGATTATTTATTATCTTTATTATAAATGATTTCATATGCTTGAGCTTTTTTTAACAGTCTATCAAATTTTTTTGCAAAGAAATTTCAAGATTGCGAAAAGAAGTTAGGAATGATTAAAAATTGTTTTTTTTTCAAAAAATTTGAAATGATTCTTTCTGTTAATTCACTAGTTTTCTTTTAAATGACTATATTCAAATTCAACAATGGTTATTGACGTTAGGGATAATTGTGAGTGTGCTGAAGACATTGAAGAAATTTTCAAAGCTACCAGTGATAAAACCTACTGTATAATTGAAAATTGAGTACAGTATTCGAGAACGTTTATGTTATCATAATTATGAAAAATCGCCATTGAATTTTCTATTTTATTTCAAGCAAAATTAGTCAAATTTTAAATAACAACATAGATAAATAAGTCGAGAGTTCTTTTTTTTCTCACATACTGTCACTTTTAATTAATAATATTCAATGCGTCTTCAACGAAAATCAAAGCGTTCTTGTACCGTTACACTAATATCTATAATATACCAGATAACAAATTTTAGGCCAATTGTTAATCCACCATATAAGCCTAGAAATGTTGCTAATATATAGAGAAAATCATTCCTTTCCGTATAAGTGTATCGACATGTTAATGGTGCACAAATTGAAAAGTAATTCGAATAGTTACTTTCATTTTTCCATGCCTCGATAAATAATTCATCAATCAATGTACCAACAACTACAGATGAAATGGGCATAAATCGACTATATATCGAAGTATTGAGAGATGATGAAATATTGTATTCACTATTAATCAAGTTAAATAATTTCCATAAGCATGTTGAATTGTAAAGACATTCAAATGTTGATAGATGCAAACCATAGATAGGTAAACAACCAAGAACAAGACCTAATAGAAAGAATAAAATTGAATAATTTGAGAGATCTTTTTCTTATCTCAAGATAGCTTCCAATTAATTCTACTATAATCAAATTAAAAATAGACAACAATAAATTATTGTTGTCAGTAAACATTTTACCTGACAAAACTTCTCTCTTGTTGTTATAAGTCAAAATTGATCTTGAACATGTTGACGTAGTTGTACATGAGCATGAACTATTACTATTATTATATAATATTGGATGTGTTGACATAATATAATTATCATTAAAAGTCGTCGGATCAAGATTCCAATTTGTAAAGAATATATTATGTAGTTGATTAGCATGAAATACTTCTATGATATAGTTATGTATTCGTCGAAAATCAGTTGGTACTTGACTCATAAAATGATCAATAATAGAATTTATTTGAATTTGAAAATTACGACGTGTTAATGTTTCAATACTAATCAATTCTCGTGAAGAAAATACTTCAATTTTTTGTTTGATTATATCTTTTGCAAGAGAACAGAATGATGCTAAAAGACGAAATTGTGTACTTAATATTTTCATATCTACAATCCAATAATAACTGTTGAGTGATTCACTACCCCATAATAATTCAATGAAATCGGATGAGATAAAATAACTTGAACATATTTGATGATAAGCTATTGGATTAATTGAAAGAAATTTCGAATATTGAATTGCTATTTGTGAACATGGACATGATAATGATGATAGATAATCAATTTGTAATTGTTCAAATATCGATTCTGATGGAAATGATATTGTCATGGAATGTGTTTGTGAATTTAATGAAGTAAAAGTTATTATAATAATAAGTGCTAAGATAAAGAATAATATATAAGAACGAGCAGCTATTTGTTGACGTTGTATAAGTAATATTTCATCTCTTGTTTGTGAATTTTCTGTTAAATGGGTTGTTCGCACTTCATGATATACATTTATTGTTTGAATAGAACGTTGAAGTTCATGGAAAGTAATTAGAGTTTTATGATGATTATCTTTGAAAACAAATAAAAAAAAATTAAAAATCAAGGAAATTTTAGTTCATCATAAATCATCAGGCAAGTCAATCAACAAGATAAAAAACATCTGTATAATAGATTTTAATTCTAAATGATTCTTTCATTTTCTTTTGTGAAAATTTTATAATATAATATTCATATTTACCTGTTTCTACGAAGCATTCCCTGGAAATACCTTTATGACGTCTACAATAATAATAATAGATTCGTCGAACTAATTTCACAATAGGTAAAATTAATATTTGAAGTGCAGTAGAAAGACCACCAACTATACCAAGTATTGTTGCTATAATATAAGCTTTATTGAAATGTTCTTCATAAGTATAACTACATTCATCTGGTACACATTGATTATAATAATTAGTGAAATTAGTAGAACTTGTCCAATTTTCAATAAATCATTGTGAAACAATATTAGCTAATTTTGTATTAGGAGAAAAACGACTATTAATTGTTGGATCAAGTCGTTTAATATTAACCAAACGAGTATCTATTTTAGCATCGGATGATTCAAATGAGCGCCATTCAATAAGCATATCAATACAAGATTTATTATAAAAGCATTCAAGTGAAGATGTCAGAAGAGAATCAACAAGTAAACAAGTCATAATCAAACCTGGTATCGTTTGATTAGGTTCAGCTAAAGTTGCGAAACAAGATGTTATTCTACAATAAAATCCTTCAGAACGTGAACAAGAAACACTAGTTCCACACGAACAATTATTATTCCAATTTTTATTTGCCACAAAACGATAAAAATAGTTATTACTAATCGATAGTTTCAATAGTTTAGCATTACTGGTATGACCAACAATAAATTGATTAAGTTGAATTGAAATTCGAACAAGTTCAAATAAATCGAGAAACGAAGCTAAAACTTTGAAAACAAACAAAACATAGAATTCAATTAATTAGTAACTCTTGTCTTTATCAAGTACCTGCTGTTGAAATTGTTGAATAAGTGTCAATGTTTGTATATGAAATGTATTATTTGTTGGTACTCGAGCATTAATAAATTGTAAATTATTGAATACAGCAAGTTCATTTTTTATTGTCTCATTTGATTTCTCACATAATGCTTGAAGTATAGTGAATGTTTTTAAACCTCGAAGACGAAAATCTGAAGTGTGAAAACTACCACTGAATCCACGAAAATAGAGCAACCATGCGTTATCTTCGATTAAATCACTTGAACATACTTGATGATAATAAGGTTTTATATATATGATCGATGAATAGGGTACAGAAAGGAGAGTACATGGATATTGAAGTGTTGATGAATATTTTGTGTATAATTGTTCATATTCATTCAATGTTGGTTGATATACACTATTTATTCGAATTCGAACAGTAATAGATGAATAGAAAATTAAGATAAGTATTCCAAAGCCAATAATAAAATCTAAATACGTGTCGAATAAATTCCATCATTGATATCTGATGAAAATGAAAAAATGTTTAATTTAAGTACTTTTTGATAAATTCCATTTATGTGAGAAATAAAACGATGTTTTAAATCTGTAAAAACAAGATATACGAATAAAAAAAATAATCACATTAAGTTAAAACTCACTTGTATTCATGTTTGTTGGATTTGTCGTCGGTATTTCATCATCTATATTATAAACAGTATGAGACTTCCAAAATCGTCGTATAAGCATGACTATTAAAGATGCAGAGAAGTATAACATTGCTTTCAGACCATCAAAAAGTACTTAAATTAAACATTTTTTCATTTTCATCAGATATCAATGATGGAATTTATTCGACACGTA